CGGCTGGCTTGGTAGCACTGAGCAGTGGAGTTTTGTCTTGTGCACCAGGACTGAGGCCCCGTGGCACCCCCAGTTGCTAACAAAGCTTTTCTATAGTTTGAAATGACTTTTCCCGCATCCAGAAGCAAAGCTAGCCCTGTAGCTCACACCCCGCTTTACAACGGGGCCACGGCCAGCTCCACCTCCAGGGCTAGAACCCAGCTCTCCTAAGCCACCAGCCCATGCAGCACCATTGGGTGGAGCTTTGTGGTGTAGTGGGGGGCTGTCTGCTCTGTAACCCCGTGTCCCCTGCTCTGGGATGTGAGATTCTCACTGACTCACCCACATGTGTAGTAACCCAGACACCTGAGCTCAGCCTCCCAGGGAGAGAGGCAAAGGCAGGGAGGTGGAGACCAGCACCAGGTTTCGGTTGAAGGGGCAGTGGCAGTCTGGGGCTGGAACCATGAGGGAGAGAGACTGAGGTTGTGGGGCTGAGGGCTGGGGGTGATGGACCCCTAACCCAAGGGGTCTGAAACACCCTGGCCCTGAATGCTGTATCACACCATGTCTGTGCTGGGCTGTATCCTGGAGGGGCCATACACCCCCCTATTCTACTGCTGGCGGAGTCTGTTCTGGCTGCCATGGTGGTGCAGGACCGGGGGGACCCTGACGTGCCATCACAAGGTTTTCAAAGTCAAGTGACTGAATCCAGGGATGTTCAGAACCCGCATCTCCCCCTGATTTCCGTTCCTGTGTTTTTCAGAGGCTCCCTTTCCCTGCCTGCCAGTGCCAGGTTCTTGTGACCAAAGCACAGTGGGTCTGTCTACACTAACACCCTAGTTCGAACTAGGGTGGTAATGTAGGCAACCGGAGGTGCAAATGAAGCCTGGGATTTGAATTTCCTGGGCTGCATTTGCATAAAGCCGGGCGCCGTCGTTTTTAAATGTCCGCTAGTGCGGACTCCGTGCCGCGCGGCTACACGTGGCACAGACTAGGTAGAAGTCTAGTCCGAACTACCTAGTCCGTGCCGTGATTTGAAATGTGCAGTGTTACCTGCTTTCACTAGGGGTTGCAGCTCCTTTTCCTGGGGGTGGTGGGTGCTTTCAAAACCACCCATGCCAATGAATTAACCCTGTGTCCTCCCAACCCGGCTCGGCATCAGCTTATGCTATATTTCCCACGCCAGCCCCTGCCTTTCCCCTTGCAGCATCTTTCATGGGTGTGCTTAGCATTGCTGCACTCCTGCACAGCTCAGCTAGCATCGAGACTGTCATGTGCACTGCATGATTCACACTGCATGTGCGACTTGGCCAGTGGCACGTACTAGCACCACCCCATTTCCCCAGGCGCCCAAATGTTTGGAAGAAAGTCAGTTACCTGTCTGCACAACCAGCTGTCACATGGCCGCATGAAACCGGGGCTCCCCTTGGCTGCAAATGGCAAACCGGAGGCGCAAGGCTCCATGGCCAAGGTGCTGCTAAGTAAACAAACCAGCGCAGCCAGTTAACAGGTTTCTCAAAGGGTATCCCGATACCAGAGGTATCCTGAAATAGCTACCCCACGCCTGAACAAATTCGAAATGCGCTATTTCGGAATCCCCATAACCCTCGTTCCACCAGGGTTAAGGCATGTCTCGAAATAGAGCGTTATTTCAGAAGTCGGTGCTGTGTAGCACACCAAATTGCAAATAAGCTAATTCAAAATAGAACCAAAATAAGAGACGCAATTTGTGTTGCTCAGTGGTTCTCAACTTGTTTCAGTCCATGGACCACCAGGCCAATCAAAAACTGTTCGTGGACCACCTCCTTTTGGAGACACAATGAAAAAGAGCAGACAACAAACATTTTGGTTTGAAGTTTATTTCTTACTAACAGATTTTTGGATTCTCTTCTCACTGACAAGCTTTTCAAAGTTTGGCGTGGTACTTGCTAATGCCCAATGAAGATCACTTTCCACTGCAAGCCGATTCCTCTGTTTGGACTTAACGTGCAACAAACACGAAAATCCAGTCTCACACATAGAAGTTGATGCAAATTGCAAAAGAAATCTGAGTGCGTGTGCTGACAGATTTGAGTAACTCCCAGTCACGCTGACCCAAAATTTCTCTATGGGAGACTGCTGGTACATGTCTTGAGCCGCAAAATCATTTTTCAGATCCAAGAATTCCTCCTGCAGGTCACGCTATGGATGACGCGCCGCGTGCTTGTGAACACGGCGTAAAACAGCCCAACGGCAGCGCTTGCTCATGCCGTGAGACTTTGGACAATGTTCCTGTGGACCACCGAAAAAGTCACCATGGACCACCAGTTGAGAGCCACAGGGGTAGCGCAACGTGCACATCTTATTTTGAGATGCACCCAAAGTGGTTTCACGGACTCCAGCGGACGTTGTAGGTTTCACTCTCCCCAGGCACTCCCTCAAGGACGTTCAATTCACTTAGCAGGCTCCCATAGGCAGACAGGCTGAAAAGGCTCAGACAGGGTCTGTCCATGGACTGGTCCCCCCCAACATGACAGCACCTCACACTTGATTTCTTTGGCGTGTCATTTGGGGTGAAAGGAACTGACATTTCCCTCAGGTACTGTTCTAGTCCCCTCTGCGGGGCGCAGGGTCAGAGCAGGGGGTGGGGGGTTGCAATATGACAGTACCTTTCAGAAATGTAAGTGTGGGGTGTAGTGTGGGAGACTCAGGGCAGGGGACTGGGGTGTGCATGGGTGTGGGGGGCTCAGGGAAAGGGTTGGGGTGTGCGGGTGTGAGGAGGGACATGGGCAGGGGGTTCAGATGTGGAATACAGGAGGCAGGGTTGGGGGTGCGAGGAGAGGATCCGGGCAGGGTTGGGGTGCAGGAGGCAGGGTTGGGGTGCAAGGAGGCAGAGGCAGAGGGTTGGGGTATGGGGGTGCAGGGGGCAGGGTTGGGGTGTGAGAGGATCCAGGCAGGGTTGGGGTGCAGGAGGCAAGGTTGGGGATGCGAGGAGAGGATCCGGGCAGGGTTGGGGTGCAAGGAGACATGGGCAGAGGGTTGGGGTGTGGGGGTGCAGGGTGCAGGGTTGGGGTGCGAGGAGAGGATCCAGGCAGGGTTGGGGGTGCGAGGAGAGGATCCGGGCAGGGTTGGGGTGCAAGGAGACATGGGCAGAGGGTTGGGGTGTGGGGGTGCAGGGTGCAGGGTTGGGGTGCGAGGAGAGGATCCAGGCAGGGTTGGGGGTGCGAGGAGAGGATCCGGGCAGGGTTGGGGTGCAAGGAGACATGGGCAGAGGGTTGGGGTGTGGGGGTGCAGGGTGCAGGGTTGGGGTGCGAGGAGAGGATCCAGGCAGGGTTGGGGGTGCGAGGAGAGGATCCGGGCAGGGTTGGGGTGCAAGGAGACATGGGCAGAGGGTTGGGGTGTGGGGGTGCAGGGTGCAGGGTTGGGGTGCGAGGAGAGGATCCAGGCAGGGTTGGGGGTGCGAGGAGAGGATCCGGGCAGGGTTGGGGTGCAAGGAGACATGGGCAGAGGGTTGGGGTGTGGGGGTGCAGGGTGCAGGGTTGGGGTGCGAGGAGAGGATCCAGGCAGGGTTGGGGGTGCGAGGAGAGGATCCGGGCAGGGTTGGGGTGCAAGGAGACATGGGCAGAGGGTTGGGGTGTGGGGGTGCAGGGTGCAGGGTTGGGGTGCGAGGAGAGGATCCAGGCAGGGTTGGGGGTGCGAGGAGAGGATCCGGGCAGGGTTGGGGTGCAAGGAGACATGGGCAGAGGGTTGGGGTGTGGGGGTGCAGGGTGCAGGGTTGGGGTGCGAGGAGAGGATCCAGGCAGGGTTGGGGGTGCGAGGAGAGGATCCGGGCAGGGTTGGGGTGCAAGGAGACATGGGCAGAGGGTTGGGGTGTGGGGGTGCAGGGTGCAGGGTTGGGGTGCGAGGAGAGGATCCAGGCAGGGTTGGGGGTGCGAGGAGAGGATCCGGGCAGGGTTGGGGTGCAAGGAGACATGGGCAGAGGGTTGGGGTGTGGGGGTGCAGGGTGCAGGGTTGGGGTGCGAGGAGAGGATCCAGGCAGGGTTGGGGGTGCGAGGAGAGGATCCGGGCAGGGTTGGGGTGCAAGGAGACATGGGCAGAGGGTTGGGGTGTGGGGGTGCAGGGTGCAGGGTTGGGGTGCGAGGAGAGGATCCAGGCAGGGTTGGGGGTGCGAGGAGAGGATCCGGGCAGGGTTGGGGTGCAAGGAGACATGGGCAGAGGGTTGGGGTGTGGGGGTGCAGGGTGCAGGGTTGGGGTGCGAGGAGAGGATCCAGGCAGGGTTGGGGGTGCGAGGAGAGGATCCGGGCAGGGTTGGGGTGCAAGGAGACATGGGCAGAGGGTTGGGGTGTGGGGGTGCAGGGTGCAGGGTTGGGGTGCGAGGAGAGGATCCAGGCAGGGTTGGGGGTGCGAGGAGAGGATCCGGGCAGGGTTGGGGTGCAAGGAGACATGGGCAGAGGGTTGGGGTGTGGGGGTGCAGGGTGCAGGGTTGGGGTGCGAGGAGAGGATCCAGGCAGGGTTGGGGGTGCGAGGAGAGGATCCGGGCAGGGTTGGGGTGCAAGGAGACATGGGCAGAGGGTTGGGGTGTGGGGGTGCAGGGTGCAGGGTTGGGGTGCGAGGAGAGGATCCAGGCAGGGTTGGGGGTGCGAGGAGAGGATCCAAGCAGGGTTGGGGTGCAGGAGGCAGGGTTGGGGTGCAAGGAGGCAGAGGCAGAGGGTTGGGGTATGGGGGTGCAGGGGGCAGGGTTGGGGTGTGAGAGGATCCAGGCAGGGTTGGGGTGCAGGAGGCAAGGTTGGGGATGCGAGGAGAGGATCCGGGCAGGGTTGGGGTGCAAGGAGACATGGGCAGAGGGTTGGGGTGTGGGGGTGCAGGGTGCAGGGTTGGGGTGCGAGGAGAGGATCCAGGCAGGGTTGGGGGTGCGAGGAGAGGATCCAAGCAGGGTTGGGGTGCAGGAGGCAGGGTTGGGGGGCAAGGAGGCAGAGGCAGGGGGTTGGGGTATGGGGGTGCAGGGGGCAGGGTTGGGGGGGGAGGGGATCCAGGGAAAATTTGATTTTTGGTGTTGAGAGTTTGGTTGATTAAAGAGTCGCTGCGATGATCCCGGAATTATATGAGAGTCTGAGCAAAAGTGCTCTGAAGGATTTGTGCTTGGGGAGAGGCATTGCCTTTAGGAAAAGGGCCTCTAAACTAGATCTGGTAGTGCTGTTATTAACCAGAGATGTGGATGAAAAGGAGCAGAAGCAAGCCAAGGAGGCTGCTGAAAGAAGGCGGAAGGCAGATGAAGAAATTGCTAAGAAACAGAAGGAGATGGATCGGGAACTTGAGGAGAAAAAGGCAGAATATGCTGAGAGACAGCGGAGGGAAGAGGTAGAGCATGCAAAGAAGATGGCCCTAGCCAAGGAGGAAAATGCTAGACTTGACCTCCAGCTTAAGAGACTAAAAGAACAAGAGAGACTGTATTCTCCTGAAGGTTCAATGTATAACTCTGTGGGTATGCGGTGTGCTTATGATATGGCAGACGTATTTTGCCCAGCTGATGTGATGACCCAACCCCAAAGCATGTGTAAATGCAAACCTTTTGTGTTACCTGTAGCTAACAGGGAGGTTTGGGAAGGGGGTGCATGTGGGTATGAAAAGTTTCCTGGAGCTGGTCAGTCTCCCTGTAACCAAGGGGAAAGTGTCTCTACAGGTGAGCCTGTGGGTGAGGGCCCATCTGATGCCTCAGAGGTGAGGCTGGAATCAGAACCGGGGCAGGAAGAGCCCAGAAATCAGGGAAATGTTTCTCTGGGGCAGCCTGGAGTGGCTGGCCAGAGTGAAGTCTTAGTTGAGGAGTTGGTGGCTGGTGAGGTTTGTGGAATTGAACCTGCACAAGCTGAAAGTGAGTGGTATGAAGCACAGTGTGTGCAAGCTGACAATTTGGCTGGTGGAAGTAGCAAGGGGGCAGTAAAGGAAGCTGTCTCAGTGGCTAGCTGTATGCCTGGGATTAGCCAGGGCTGTGGGGACAAGGGAGAAACTGTCTCTGGTTGTCTGTCCGTGTGTGGGGAAGAGTTTCTTCCTTTGTCTGAGGAAGGTGCCCCACAGCCTGTGAAGGCTGAGAGCAGTGCAATTTGGCTGGTGGAAGTAGCAGTGGGGCAGTAAAGGAAGCTGTCCCAGTGGCTAGCTGTATGCCTGAGATTAGCCAGGGGTGTTGGGACAAGGGAGAAGCTGTCTCTGGTTGTCTGGCTGTGTGTGGGGAAGAGTTTCTTCCTGTGTCTGAGGAAGGTGCCCCACAGCCTGTGAAGGCTGAGAGCAGTGTGGTTGTCCCAGAGTTGGGTCTGGATATGGCTAAGGCCCAGGAAGGGGGTGGCCCAAGGTTTGTGTCTGCTGGGGAGAGGGATGAGGTGACTCAGGTAGAGTCAGTCAGTGTTTTACCAGAACCCCAGAGATGTGCCTGAGAGGGGATTATCTGTGAATCCACCTGAGGGGCCAGAGATAACTCAGGGAGTAAGGGAATTGCGGGAGGAGTTGGTTGTGGCTCAGCAGGGTAATGCTGCTGTGCAGCCAGAGGAAGGTGAACTGTTTCCTAAGGAAGCTCATAGGGAGGAGAGTCCTGGCAGTGCTTGTAGAGAGCAGTTTGCAGTAACTGAGAGAGGTGACAGGGCCTTGCTGGGAGAAGGCATTCAGGAGAAAGCTCT